AAGGAAGGAAGGAAGGAAGGAAGGAAGGAAGGAAGGAAGGAAGGAAGGAAGGAAGATCCCAAACAGTTTCATTTAGAATAAAATATTTTGATATACATTTGTCAAAGAAGTACAATGTCAGACTTCTTTGGAGGGTCAAACAACCTTTTCACAGGGGTCACCTAAGAACATCAGAAAGCACAAATATTTACATTACAATTCATAACAGTAACAAAATTACAGTTATGAAGCAACAAAAATAATTCTGGGGTCACCAAAACATGAAGAACTGTATTAAAGTGTCACATCATTAGGAAGGTTGAGAACCACTAGTCTAGTTGGAAGGAACCCAGTCAAGCTCATTCACCGTCGTGTTGAAGAAGGCTTTGGCTCACAAGGCCCCAGATTCCTATTACTAATCTCTTTACTGGAAGAAAAAGAAAAGTACAAGATTATGCCATGAAAATAGTAAGACAAGGTGAGAGAAATTTTAATGGACCCAAATAAGTGTCAACTTCATCTATCTTCATGGATCAGAGGGCATATGCTACAAAGTAAATCTCTATTGAATTTTACATTTTTTAAAAGAAAATCATGGATTTAGCCAGACATGGTGCCACACACCTGTAATCCCAGCACTCTGTAGGCAGAGGCAAGCATGGTCTACAGAGTGAGCTCCAGGGCTTCACAGAGAAACCTTATCTCAAACAAACAAACAAGCAGAGGAAAGAAGGAAGGAAGAAAGGGAGGGAGGGAGGGGAGGGAGGGAGGGAGGGGAGAAAAGGAGGGAGGAAGGAAATCCTTGAGGAAATGCAAGAGCCAAGACACTCCTCCCACAAAATAAAAAAAAAAAAGTTGGAGAACTGACATTATTCAATTTGGATCAGGATGGCTCAAAGCTATGCTAACCAAAGCCAAGTGCTATTAACACAGATAAGTGTATCAACACTAGACTAAAAATGCCACTCTAGAAATAAGCCTCACTTCTGTATCTCCTCTGGAAAGTTTAAGGGACAGACATCTCTTTACTAAATGGTGCTGGGATGATTGAAACTTGCTACTGCAGAAAGTGGAAATGAGCCACATGCAGAAATTAACTCAGAGGGGACAGCAGACCTAAGGATAAGGACAAGACCTATTGAGAAGAAAACCTCAAAATCTGTTGGGCACTGTTTCTTAGCTGCAATATCTAAACGCCAGCAATAGGGAACAACTATGGACAGGACTTGTTTGATATATAAAAACCTGTGCAGTTCAAACAATATGATAAAGGAAGGAAACCGAAACTCACAGAATGGAAGACAATAGTTTCAAATGAGAGAACAATTAGTGACATATCCATAATAATATAAAGACACGTTTTAGCTCCATAAAAAGATGGCAAATAATGAAAAATAAGTTTGAATAGAGAGTATTTAAGATACACCAATAAGAAGATGGAAAATGCCCAACAGTGTGAGGCACTAGGGAAAGGCAAATCCAAACTATTGAGATGCCTGCCCAGGAGAGCTAAAATAAACAAGACAGAAAATGACGGGTGAGAACACAAAATCACCCTCTGGTGTCATTCATGGAAACAGAAGATGATGTGGACATACAGACATAGTTGCAGTTCCTGAGAGAATTAAACATCAAATAAAGATGTAATCCAGCAACCTACGCTGTTTAAAAGCCGTGTCCACAACAACGTCTACATGTACAGTCATGCCCTCACTCTTGATAACGACCGGGAGGTGCAAACACTTCCCCCAGCTACTGAACACATCAACAAAATGTGATCTAGCTATATAATAGGGTACTGTTCTTCTATTTAAAAAAGTCAGACTTTTGATCCATGCTAAAACATGGGTAAACATGCCATCATCATGTGAATCAGACATAATAAAGACAGTGTTTATACATGAGTTCACTGTAAGCAGTATCCCCATCAGGCAGCTATGAAGAGACAGAAGAGGGTGCTGGTTGCCTCCACTGGGGGAAGAAAGAAGAAATTACTAGGCTAAGTGGGTGCTAGAAACCAAATCCGGATTCTTTGCAAAAGCAGTATGTGCTCCTAACCATTGAGCCACAGCTCTAGCCCCAATTCATTTTTAAGTATATTTCATTGAGTTAAGAAAACCCATTCTCACATCACCAATTTTTAAGAATTCCTTTAAATAACAAATTTAAGTTGCCTGCTTATTTTGAAATGATTACAGTTTTGCTCTGCTAACACAACATTAGCATGATAAAACAATAATGAATTTTCCCCTTTCCTGAGGCAATCCTTCTTAAGACATAACTTTTACATACTCCATGGGTTTTTCTGGCTGCTGTGTATTTCATCATTTCCCATACATGATGTCCATTATGACATCAGACTACTTTTAACTTCACAAGGTCTTCAAAAAGTGAGCTAAGTGGAGCCCCATTTGTTTATGTTCTCGAAGTTCTGTTCTAAGTCTATTCTGTATAATTCTATGAGAATTTACTTCTTACTGTTCTGCTGGATGTGAAGAACAACAAAATGTTTGGGCTTCCCTCCCAGTTGTTCAAACCTAATGCCAAAAGGAGAGTGGAAGATTAAAGATGATCTCTGTAGTTGTTTCACTTTCTGAGTAGCTCAGCTTTGTGAGGTCAACACAGATAAGAGACTCTCCATCAAAGGCATCTTTCTCCATCAAAGGCACATGCAGCTATAGAATAGGGTTGGGTGTGACTCCGCTGCAGAGCATGTGCCAAGCATGGCACAGCCCTGGGTTCCCTACCCAGAGATACAGAAGAAACATGGCAGCTGATGACATGGATGCCCTGCCTGAGCAGAGTAGCTGACACTATAATTTAAACCTTTCCTTCCTCCTCTAGACAGTTACCCTCTACAAAATGGAAACACCAGCACCCAAATTCTTACTACCTCCAGGATAAGTGATAACTCAGTAGTATCATTCTCTAGTGATAACTCTGATTCTAATAAGTTTCCTTCTAACCAAACTCGTAAGACAGGAGCTCTCTGGTTCAGTGGGGAGTGTGACTATCAACAGGTCTTGGGAGATGCCTTATAAGAAAAACACTGGGCACGAGGATTACAACAGGGTCAAAAATGTACATGCCCTCGCATTTATTCCACAGTCAAAGTTACTTCGAGACCTAGTCATCTCAATATAATATCAACTACCTCTTGTAAAAAGTGCCAATTTCTGTCTGGGGCATGGGTTCACTAGCAGGGGGAGAGGCTAGCTGACAATGAACCAGCCTAAATATATATAAAAATTCTGACTTTTCTTCTTTTATTGGTATGTAGGATCGTACATCTTGCTTTGTAGAGCAGGCTACCTAGACTAGCAATCTTCCTGACTCTGCCTATGACCCCTGTGGCTAAAGACAAACACCACTATGCTTGGCTTAAATTCTGACTTTCTTATAATGAGGCTTTAAAAGAAAGCTGCTTCTTCTTTACTTACTTTATCTGCTACAGTCCTCTTTCACTAATAAAAGTCAATACAAATGTCTGTATTCCCTTTTACTTTAAGTATGTCAAATGTTCTCAAGAACATAAGTCTTCCAGGTAAAGGGTCCCACATTAATTAATGATATGCAACCCGAAAAGATGGAAAGTACATTTGTGAACATCGGTTGTAGCAAGCTTATGCATTCCAGGGAGGGAAAGTAGAGAATGAGGAGGGGAGGGTTGATAGAGGAGCCCTTTTAGGAAAATGGTAGACTATCACCAGATGCATACCATGTATAAATCACAAAGCTAATGAGACTTCAAGGACAGTTTTGATGTGGACAACAGCACTAAACGTAAACATTAGTGATCTCATTATCAGTGATGTGCAGAAAACAGCTGATCTGTTGTTAGTTTCACCCCTCCTGGTAATTTGTTGTCACATTAAAGGGGGAAAACACTCTAAAAATAATGCTTAAGAACCTTCATTAATTGTGAGATGATTGTTTTTCTGTTGTTTTGTTTGCCTCCTCCTTCCCAAACTGTGGTCTATGGCAGTTCAGAGCGAGGGTGTGAAACAGACGCAAAAACCTGCCAACTGCAAAGATGCCTCCACTTGCCAAAAGCTGTGGAGTTGGGCTTGGGAAATGTGAAGGGTCTTTGGCTTATGCTAAAGACATGCTTGGAAAGCCACCCTCAGAACAGCTTACTGTTTTTAGAGTTCCATAGTTAATCACTATGGAATTAAACGAGTTCCTAAAATGCTCTTTTATATTATGCTCAAAGGCCACCGAGTCAAAAACCAACACAAACAAAACTGTTCAGTCATGAAATTCAACGCTTTTGTAAACTAGGGGTAGTGATAAGACAAATGGCCAATCTGAGTACATGCCTCAATTTCTGAGCTGCCATTTAATCTAAGCTCAGGGCAATCTTTCTATCTATGTATCTATTTATCTATCTATCTATCTATCTATCTATCTATCTATCTATCTATCTATCTATTCTTTCATATATTGCAACCTGGCCACAATTTTCCCTCCCTCCTGTCCTACCAGCCCCTCCTTCCCACCTTTCTTCCATTTCCCTTCAGAAAAGAGCAGCCCTCCCAAGGATCTCAACCAAACATAGCACGACAAGTTACAGTAAGACTAGGCCCATACCTCATATCAAGGGCGAACCAAGCAGCCAGTAGGAGGAAAAGGATCCCCAAAGGAGGCAAAAGAGTCAGAGACAGTCCCGACGCCCACTGCAATTCCTTTTTAAATTACTTTGAAAGAACATGCTATGAGCAGAGTTGATTCACCTGTTTAGACTTGCATACACCTTCTGGCCTGGACACAGCAGGACTCTGATCCACAATCCCCTGGTTAATAGTACCTTGTCTTCTGTACCCTCCCCTCCAACTAGTGTCCTAAATCTTGAGAATAGAACACACACAGTCCCTCCTTGTTTCCTACTTTTTTGTTCAGTGAAAATGAAAAACACCGACGGCATGTTTTTAAGCAAAAATATTGGAAGTTCATATCTGTCCCATAAGAACACAACATGTGAGGGGGTCTCATTTACAGTCACTTAGACCCCCAGCTCTTACTGTTGCAGGGCAAGTCAGTGGACTTATTTGTAATTTATCTGGCTCACGAATATAGTTCAGATCATGACACCAGTCTGAGGTCTCCAACTTGCTGGTTTAAAGAGAGGGTAAACTCGGGCCCACCTGATGTCAACTTGGAACCAGGGTTAGCCAAGAACCACTTAAGGTGGCCTGTGTCTGTAACGCCCACACAGAGAAGGTGTTGGTGAGAGGATCGGGAGGTCAAGGCCATTCTTAACTACATACCTCGTTCAGGTCAGCCTGAGCTATTCTCAACAAACAAACAAACAAATAAGGTCCACATAGCACAGTAGACCAGCTGCTTAGTCAGATGGGGTCCTGTGGCCCCCTGAACCTCTTGCCTAATCTTTGGAACATCGAAATGGTAACATCCTCAACTCCTATGTGTGTGTCACTAGTGCTAGCTTAGACAGGCCTGAAGTTTTACAGGTTACCGTGCCGTCAGAATTCCTAATTTTCCCGAACGAGTCTTCCCGGCTCTAAAAAACGGTCACTAACTTCTTTTTCAGAAGATCACAAGCTCAACCCTGGATTTGTGGGACACAGGAAATCCCAGGATTTTCTCTACATAGGATCAGTGAATCCCCAGAGCCAGGCTAAAGAGACCAATCGCATTTCTCCCCCAGCCTATAAGTCCTGCTCCCCGAGTCCCCTTGTTGCCCCATGGACCTCTGGAGCAACCCTTCAGCCGCCTTCCCACACACGGATCTCTGGCGCACAGGGCACAGGCGAGGAAGCAGGTCAGCTTGGGCCAGCCCTTTGAGTAATCTTTTAAGGGAAGCCGGGCTGAGATCAAGCCCAGGACAGCTCAAGGGACACAGCTTTGGCTAAAGTCCCCTCCTGGGTCTCAGTACATACCCAGAGCGAGGAAGTCCCAGGAATCTCATCACATCTGCCTTTGGCTAAGTCAAAGATCCTATATACACCCCAAACCTCTTTCCCTCTCCTCCTCTCCCCCCACCACACCAACGGTCCTCCCTTTTCTCTCAATGCTCCCTAGCCCCCATCACCATCAGAGCAATCTGCACCTGCTGCTCACCTGTGGCCAAGACACCAGCTCACAGAGAAGCCAGAGGGGGACTCCTAGTTCAGGAATCTCCAACAGCGGCCCAGAACAAAAAGCTGAGTCTCAAGGGGTCCCAAGTAACTTTTCACCTGTCACCCCTCCAGTGTGAACTTGAACCAGGCGAGAAATGAGCAGAGACATTCAACCTATATCCTGTTGCCCACAAATCCGGGCAGCGAGAAGGGCGAATCCACCTTTTCCCCTTCCCCATCTGGGTCCCCATCCGATTGCTCCCGCGGGTGGCTCACCCAGAGAGACAGCAGCAGCTGGGTGCACAGGGCCCCATATGGTGGGCTCATGAGTCCAGGGACCGCCATCGCTCCCTGCAGCCTCAGGAGGACTCAGGCAGGCGCCAAGCAGGAACTCTGGGAGCCAGGGCTCAGAAGGTTTTCTGCAGCAGCTTGTCGAGAAGTCTTTCTGGCCTCTCTGAAGCTTCTTTGCCCAGGAGCGTGTTCTCGCCTGAAACTGGATTGGACCAAGCAGACGCTGGGTGGCCCCTCCTAGTTATTTCTCAAGTTTTATCACCTGCGGGGCTGCCTTGGCGCTGCCTGAGCCTGCCCTAAGCTCCCTGCAGCCGCCAGGGAGCTCACTCCCCGAGAAAGCGGTCCTGGGTCCACCCTCTGCTGGCTCTCCCACGCCCCTTATCTGCCCCAAGGGGTTGCCGCCCAACCTTAACTCTCATCCTCTTCGCTGACACTGCGCTGGGCCTCTCCACTGCCAACCCAGACTCGCCTGCTCTGACTCTACTCTGGGTGCCAGGAACACACACCTGATCAGATCATGGGAGCCTCCCATCCAGTCCACTGCTGTGCAGACTCTGGGAAACCTCTTCGCACGTTGAAACAAGACCCAGGTAGTCTCTCCAGGCGTCATTAACATGATAAAATAAACCACTGAAGGAAAATTGTCCCGAATGCCATGGGTTGTCTGTGCCAGATATTAAAACCAGAGAAAAGATGTGCTCACCTGACCATTTTTCCACACTCAAAATTACTACCCTTTGGGCTTTCATTACTGGCAATATTTGAGGCAAAGAACATTCTTTTTAAAAATTTTTCCTTTATTAATTGCAGTTTATTCACTTTGTATCCCAGCTATATCCCCCTCCCTCATCCCCTCCCAATCCCCTCCTCCCTCCTTCTTCTCCCCCCCTCCCCCCCCCCCCCCCGCCCTGTCCACTGATAGGGGAGGTCCTCCTCCCCTTTCCGTCTGATCCTAGCCTATCAGGTCTCATCAGCACTGGCTGCATTGACTTCCTCTGTGGCCTATGACTTCAGGGAAAGCTGTGCTGTCTTCCCCAGCCTCAATGTTTGAGATTCAGAGTGGAGCTGGCTTTTCTGCTGTACAAGGAGGAAGGACAGGCCAGGACAGAGCTGTCCTGTTCAGGATTCTTCCTCCAGTGAGGGGCTTGAAGAGTTCAATTTTAGAGCAGGGCTCTTAGTTCAGTGAAGCAGCAAAGATGCTTGAGATAAGAACGGAGAAAGGCCGAGGGGTCAGGGTGTTCCAGCATCAGCAACGGGGCCAGCTTTGTACACGGAGGCAGAAAGGGCTAGTGGTTCAAAAGAGCAGGATGGGAATACCTGTAGCTGAGAGGCTGCATGACTGGCTTGTGACAAGCCATACTGAGGAGCAAGAGCTTGTCTTGGAAGAAATGACAATCTACTCAACTTAAACTCATGAAAAGGATTACTGAGGACTTGTAATGACTTACGTTCATTATCCATGATGCTAATCACTTATATGATTGTCCCTTTATCGTATAATATATGTGTGTCTCTATATATAGAGACACACATGTGTATAGAGACACACATATGAGATGGATATTGATGCATTTTACTCCATTCTAAATGATCCAACGTTTTCAATGACCTCAAAATAGATCTTTAGATTAACTAGGGTCTGACCTTGTGGCTGTCTTGCAAGTGGCTAAAATTTCAGCAAGACTGTCCCTTTGGTTATATGGTCTGTGCTATCTGACACACAGTATTGATAAGCCTGTTGATAGCACAATTGTTTTTAGTTTCATCCTAAAATTAACACTGGATCAAATCTATTCCATAAACACTAGGAAAGCATGTGAGTAATATTTTCAACTTGAATTGTAAAATTTTAAGTGCAGTGTATTAATTATATTAACATTAGCTGATGTAGCATTAGCTGATGGCTTGGCATTCTCCATTCTATGCAGACATTAGTCTAATTCCTAGCAGAAGGCAGTGTGCACTTGTAATGTAAGAAAATATCCTTCAATCACTTACAATGACAACAGAGAACACCCTGGAAACACATTCAATTACATATGTTTTTACATGAATTAGATTTTAAAACATATTTGGAAAGTTTGTTTAAAATATGAGTTTGGGCTTGAATGTAGTTAGAATTGGGAATTATCTGTAATTTTTTTAAAAAGCTTCAAATCGTCATGAGATACGAGGAAGCACAAAAAAACTTTCATGACGAGTCTCCTTATAATTCTGATCTTCAAAATAGAAAGTCACTTGGAAACCACTGCTAAAACCATAATGAGCCAGGTAGAAAAATGAAGTATTAATCTACCATTCTGGCATTAGTTTTAAAGGTAAAAACATAACAAATAAGAGTCAATAATGGGAAGAGGCTTGAGATGAACATGCAAACTGTAATAATCTGGGTGAACTGGAATACTGTTAACAGAAAGTAGAGCTGAAACATTCTGAAGGAGATTTGAACTGGACGCTGTGGCTAACACATGCATCCTCAGCGCTCAGAAAAAAAGTGACAAGAGCACTGTGGCTTTGAGGCCACCATGGACTGTGCGGTGAGTTCCTGCCCCAAATAGGCTATTTAGCAAAAGTGTATCATCTCAAGCCAAAAACACCATTAAAGAGGAGGAGGAGGAGGAGGAGGAGGAGGAGGAGGAGGAGGAGGAGGAGGAGGAGGAGGAGAAGGAGGGAGAAGAATCAGAGGGACAGGGTAATGTGCCTGCACCTGGGAGTAGTCTCTGGCAATGGCAAGGGATACCTAATCTTAGGAGATAGATGCTGACCCCTGATCCACTGTTCCAGGCTACCTTGTGCAACACCAGTCTAGCACACCCACTCACCTCTGTCACTGTGGTCAGGGATGTAGCAAGTGTGGGTCACTTGAAACACTTCTGTAACACTGTGCCAGGACACCATGATGCCTCAAAGGAGCCTGCCAATCAGAAATGGAAACACAGCTTTGGTGAAGAACAAGCAGGAAATGGGCTTGAATAATAGTCCCAGTGACACAAAATAAATAAATTCTGCCCTGGGATATTACTGTACAACCACTTTCAGAACGCTATTTGGGATAACAAACTGAGGTGTCATTACAAGCCATCTGTAGATCACCTAGGATACCAAGCCAACAGCAAGTTTGACGTGCGGGTCATCTTAAAAGACTGCTAGAAGCTGCTATTAAAGAGAACCCTCATTCAAGAATTCTGCCCGGTGTAAGAGCCATGCACACAGCCATCTGATTCCTTCCTATTTTCCCAGACCTCTTCTGAGCTTTTATTCTGGCCTCCACAGAAATGTTCCAGGGAGCAAAGAGAACCTCAGATCTAGGCTAATAGATATATTAATAACCATAACTCCTAAGAAACATGGTGCTTATAATTCAGTCACCTCTGCTACGGATCCCATCAAGTCTCATTTCTCATCCTAGGATTTACCTCTCCCCAGAATGATTAAGGGTAGGACTGTCCACTGTTATCCACAGAAAAAATCTCTTCAGAGCATTGGCCTTCCACAATAGCATTAGCAACCATCACACACAGGTCTGACACTTATTCATCGCCCAGATTCACCACCATGCAGTCTCAGGAATGATGACAGCCAGTCCAATTTACAGAGGGTGTGCCAAGCTTGGGAGTCTGTCAGCCTCGCTTTACTGACATGAGTCAAGAGCAAGGGCTTCTCCTCCTTCCGCTCGAGTACAGGAGCTCCTCACAAGCAGTTCCTCAACAAATAGTCCTTTTAAGGAGGCAGGGCAGTGCCCCAGCCACTTCCCACTGGTCTGGTAGGAATGATCATGTCCAAGTAGAAAACAAAAGCCCATTGTGACAATGATGATGTCTTACAGTCACGAACAAAGGATCAGATTCAGAGGAACTGATTATGGTGTGTGTGTGTGTGTGTGTGTGTGTGTGTGTGTAATGTACATAAATGTGTACACCAATGTGCATGGTGAAGATCATAAGTAGATTGATGTTGGATGTCCTGCTCTGCCATAGTCTCTTCCTTATTCCCTAGAGACAGGATTTCTCACTGAACCTGGTATTAGGATGGTGGCCAATAAGCCAAAGCAATTATCCTGTCATAGCCCATAACTACCACCCCAAACACACACACACACACACACACACACACACACACACAAGGCAGGGGTTAGAGGTGCATGTGACCACACTTTGATTTTTACATGAGTTCAGGAGATTTGAACTCAAGTCCTCATATTAGCACAGGAAGTACTTTCACTGCCTGAGCCATCTTTCTGGCTCTCATAATGAATTTAAAATCCCATTTGAAATGTGCTATGAGTCTCCAACTGTATCTCTTTCAGAGGGAAGAATCTCGTGCTATTGTCGGATTCTCCAGTTTTCCTGGACCTTCCAGTGTCTGCTGGAGTGTACTGTAAGCTTCTGTCTGTCCACAGGGCATTGCCCCAGCATGAAAGTTAAGGTGTGAGTGGGGTGACTTCCAGATCTCATGCGTCAGTATCCTGGCGTCATGCTTGGCTCACTGCCTCATCAGCCTTCTCTTTTCCCAGAAGGTGAGGACCATCCCTCAATGTCTGCCTAGCCTCCTAGGCACAGGCCCCAGCTCAGAGGCTTGTCACCTAGGTCAGGAGTACAAAAGGAGCTTCCCACCAGTTCCCTACATGCTTTTATTTAACATTCTGTCCCTTGTTCTTCACTTTAGTAATAATTAAGCATAAGTTTTCTTTAAAAATAAATTAGGTATAAGTTTATTAAAAATTGTGCACAAGATTATTTTAAAATCCATCATTTTTAAAATCCCTTTTTCTTGTATTCTTTTTTTTTCTGTGTTGTTTGTCCTGGAATTTTTGTTTTTGTTCTTTTCTAAGACAGGGTCTCTGAGGGAGTTTAATAAGCAACCAATACCCATCCCCTTCTCTAACCAATTACACGAGAATCTTGGGGCGAGGATTGAATTTTGTGTTGTTTTGTGTCATTTGACAACTTCCCAAGGTGTGCTACTGTGCAGATGGAGGATGTGATTCTTGTTTAGAGATGCACAGTCCTCAAAGCATGGTTCCTTCCTCGGAACCATAGATACGAAACTGAGACCCCCTT